GTAAAAGTAAAAAGTACAATCTTGTAAAACTACTCCTAAAAGTGTATTTAAAAAAAAAAGGAAAAATAGTTACTCAGGTAAACGTAATTGGTTACCACAAAGCTCTGCAGAAATCTCATCATAGCGCTTCCATGTAGCATTGTCTATCTGCAACCTGTGACATACCATCAGTTTGCGCTTAGGCATTGCCACATGGTCAGATCACCGGCTCCACAGCCGTCTGTTCTCTCCTTCACAGCCTCATGTCACACGCCCAATGGGCTAAAAAACAATATGCAATGGGATTTAGATGATGGAGTGTCCTTTCACGTTCGTCTTTCATCAAACTAAATTTCTTAAGTGTTTTATGGTTGTGAGGTATCACTGTTATTACCAATGTATTCAGCTGGAAGCTACAGATCGAACCAACCCTCTGACCTCGCCGCATGGAGTACAGCGGCATGGCGGCCCCGCTGCAAAGATTAATGAAACTGACACGTTTTTAATTTTACATTTATATTTTTCACATCTGTAATATGATTATTGATCAGTTGAAGACACAATCTTGTAAATTAAGTTAGTTTGGTTAACTGTTTCATTCCCACTTTAACTCACTAACTCTCCTACATTCTGACTTTATAACTGTATGGTTTTGTGTTTTTATATGCCTAGCTGCTTTGGCTGCTGAGGACCTTGGCTTTGAGCAGTTTCACAGTGTTCTTCAGTAAGTGAAAATGATTGTGTTGTATTTCATTTTTTATATATGTATAGATTTTATCTTCTGTATCCTAGATATCTAGTTCTGTATTGCATATTTTTATTTTATTGAAAACAAACAACTCTAGATTTAACAATTAAGTGCAGTATTTTTCCAGTTGGCTGCATATCTTTCAAAAGACAGCATGAGCAGAGTAAATAGGAGGTGTGAATTTCTCTGTCTTTGTTTTTAAATTGAACTTGCCACTTTGCTCTTCGCAGTTTGCCAACTCACCACTTTCAATGATTACCTTGAACAAATCGAATGCTTATCTGACACAAAAAAATGTCTTTCAAAGATGCAAAGGCAAATTAAATGTATGCAGGGTTGAGTTTGCTTTGAGAAATATTTAAATTGCATCCCATAGCTCAATGACAGCATAAACCACAGTCAGCAAAAAGGAAAGCTTGCTCAAAGCGAAGAAGTGCATGCTTAATAAGACAGACAGCTGCACTGGTATTTTATTAATGAGGAACAGGATAAGAAGGATGGAACACTAACCCCTAGCGATCAAATATTTCTTTATACTTTCTTCCCTTTTATTTATTTTCAAAGATTGTCAAGGACTAGGAAGTACATTCCTTGTCCTTTAATTACTTTTCTCACTTGAACTCAGTTAATTATTGTTCCGTTTATTATTCCACAAACCCTATAACTTGCCAAACATATAGAGTCACAACCACCAAATATATGAATTCAGGTTTGCTAGTCGCTCCCATAGCTGCATATATATATATATAACATTTGGTATTGACACATTTGACTTGACTGCACAGATTTGTGACATCAACCTTATTGAACGCCTTTGGAATGAACGAGTGGAGGCAGCAACTCTGTGTTCCTTGTGAAAGATATAAAAAAATACAAGTTGCAATTGCTTGGATTGGCAGGCCATCAACAAATTGGACCCTGCAGATCGAGAACATTATGCCATCAAAGTTCTTACACAGAGAAATACTTAAGGAATATCATGTCATCATATTTTCCTTTTTTTTTTTCTTCTATGTTTTGCAGTAAGAGAACTGTCCTCTCAGTATCTGATCTCAGAGAGGAGGTGGTGTCTCTCTACCAGTCCTGGAGGGGGTGCTGTGGGGTTTTGCTTTTTCTTTACTCTGTCATCCTCACCAAGGTAAAGACCCAGAGATATACTGATTGGCATTTGAATAATTTCCCCTTGTTGTTTTTTGTATGAGTTTTTTTATTTTTTTAATAAAGCTTTCTGTCAACTATGCTCTACCCATAAAACAAGTAAAATTTTATATCTGGAAACTCGTTTGTAAATGTTGTAGTTCTCGAGTGTTTCCTGGGGATTTTCATATTTCTAAATGTTCATCAATTTTTCTCTTTTTTTGGTTTTCTCTTTGCAGGGCATAGAAAATATTAGAAATGAAATCCAGGACCCAACAGAGCCCCTCATAGATCCTATTCATGGCCATGGAAGGTATACAAATCTATCTTTCTTTTTTCTTCTTTTAAGCTGACTTTTAATGAATGTGGCGCATTCAAAAAACAAGACGTTCTTCTAATATTAGGTTTCAAAGTTTTAAAAAAAAGGGTTCATATTTAATCACCTACATTTTCAACTCAATTGTCAGACTGCTCTAAAAATGTTAATTATACCATCTCCATCCTAACCTGAACTAGTAGTCTAACTTTCTGTTTTGAAATACATTTTAGAAATGTGTGTTGGTCAGAAAAGAAAAGTACAATTATTTGAATATTATTATTTATTATTTTGTCCTCACATACCATTTGCAATCCTGCCTCTCAATGTTTTGATTGCTATACAATGCTGCTTAGTCCTTTTTGGTACGCTTAACTGAACCCTTGTAGATGCAACTTTTATTTACAACATTTTCTTTGTCATAATGTGAAATAAGTCAGTTATTCTAAATTGGAACGACTTGGAACGTCAGCGACTTTTAAAGTGAAATTCACAGTCGTATTAAATAAAAAATACTTATAATAATTATATTTTAATTGGTCCATATGGCCTGACTGGTTGAGAGCAAAGGCATAAATGCAGGAGGGTCATGGCAGAGGTGGAAGATGAAACATTTAAGGGGTGAAAGGGAAGCTTTAAGTGAAAGCTGGGTGACATGTAGGCAGGAGAGAAAGGATGCAGAGCTTGTTCTTGAACTGAACCTGCTGAAGAATGTGTTCAGTTCATTGCCTCTGCCCAGACTTCCATCTGTCTGTTCATCCTGCTTGAAGCCTGTGATCTTCATCCTTGACCACTCATCTCTGATAGTGTTCTGCTGAAGCTTGCATTTCCAGCTTCTTCCTGTTTGCTTCCTTGCTTTCGCTTACCTTGACCTTAAGTTGCTTCTGTACACTCTTCAATAATTCCCTGTCTCCCTTCCTGAAACATATGTTCAACTTGTTTAGCAGTCTCTTTAGATCACTGATTACCCAGGGTTTATTATTTTCTAGTGGGAATGGTGTTATCGACCCAGACATTTATATAGACAGTCAGTCACACACTTGTTCATTCCACTGATGCGTGCCTCTTAACATTGAAATCCGATTTTCCAAAAGACAGTCTAAGTTAAAGTTGTAGGGAAGTCATATTTAAATATCAAATCATTCTGGCCTAAGCATGTATATAAATGTACTCTTTATCAGAATATATTGTCCCAAAATTTCATTATTTTATGCAGGCCAGTTAGTTAAACGTCAGCTTGTACACCTAAATTGGGCCAATCATATATATAAAAGGTCATCTGTCAATCTAATTTTTTCAGTCATAGCATCTTGATTCTTATGTCGCAGCTAATATATGCAACTGTTGAAATAAGAATCATTTACTTCACCATTGAGTTAAGTCCCAGTCTTCACAGGGATGGACGTCTGTGTCTTCTGCAGGCGTAGAGCTAGCAGAACTGGCAGCGTTGCGAGGCAAGGGCTCAAACATGTGTAAGCCTTCTACACCAAACCAAGCTTTTGCTGCCCTGGCGTCCTCTTCCAGAACAACTTCATCCCAGCTTTCCTCCTCTAAATAAAAAATGTATGACGGAGGAGACTCATCCACGACCTCTGACACAAAACTCTCCTACTCTTTTTCCGCTGTCCATAGCGTTCCTTGACAGTGTCGTTGCTAAGTGCTAATTGGTCCCAATGTAATTTCCCATTGGGAACCTACTAGCACTAAGTTGCTTACTGGTTAGCAAGATGCTTCTGAAAAACCAGCCACAACCAAACTTTCTTGCGAACCTTCCGCCACAACAATCCCGCCCCCTTTATAAACAACCAATCACATTCACTTTATTCCCTCATGTAAAGTCAGGCACCACTCGGGAGAATTCAGAACTGCAACCGTTTGAACAGCCGCTTCCCTACGACTTTAAGACACAAGGTTTTTTTTCTCAGGTACAGCAGGTGATAAAGTAACTGCTAGAACATTGGAAGTGTAGCAATAAATGAGGCTTCATTAAAAAAGACCAGTACAATGCAAGTAGATAAGCAATAATGGCACTGATGAACTCTCATGCAGTTTCGGCAACAGCAGAAGGTGGAATGTAAACGGTTAGAAAAAAACAACACAGATGAACTCTCTTGGTAGATGATATGAATAAAAACAAACTCACAACAGTTCAATATCTGAGCTGCAGAGACAAATCTTTACAGTAACATGTGCTGGATGACATAATCTGTTTTTCACAAGCACTGCTAATCATCTCACTTCAGTTTTCAAGCCATCTTTTAATCTCTGGCTGCTTGTATGGTCAGAAAGCCAGCCAGAGGAAAAACTCGAGTCCGCAATTTGATCCTGCAACCATGTTTCTATAAAACGCATAATACTGCATTCCCAATTTTTTGTCTGGATCCATGTCAGGGCTTGAAGTTCTTCTCACCTGCTTCCTAAAGATATTGTATTGCCCATGATGACTGATGGAAGAGATGACTTATATTTTCTCTTCCTCTCTCTTTCTTTCTTTGCTCCTCCTCTGCATCACTGAAGCCTCCTTTTCAACTCAGCTGAGACTTGCATAAGTAGTTTAAGTATTATTTCAGCGTTTGAGATGGTAATTTGTTGCTTCTGCGTGTGTTTACAAAAAGAAAAAAAAAAAAAAGTTACTGTGATATAGTACATCATGACAAATGTCAAAAAATTCAAACATTTTTAAAAATCCTTTCAGCTTCACAGCATAGGTTAAAAAAACCACACATTCCACATAATTATCAGAGTTAAGCTAGCAGAGCTGCTCCAACATGAAGCCACCTTGAGCAGAGCAATTGTAGACTTGTTTTACCACCAAACAAGTTGCTGCCTCCTAAGACCAGCTTAATTTGACTTTGTTTCAAAAAGTATCAGTTCTTTGAAAATGTTGTCTTTTGTAAAAACTGTTTCTCTTGTCCCATTTTTCTTTCAGTCAGAGCCTTGTGAACCTTCTTGTAACCGGCCATGCAGTCTCCAATGTGTGGGATGGGGATAGGGAATGCTCTGGCATGAGTAAGAATGGGCACTGAAGTTATTGAAGAGAAAAAAATATATTATTACCATCATGTTTATCTAAAGGGTCGACACTTATACCAGCAAACCTTTTAAATGGTTTCATATTTAAATATGTTTGAATGATGGGTAATAATTGTCTTAGTCCCATAGCCTTACTTATCAACAGAAAGTAACTCAGTCTTATGTCAATAATCAGATTTTTCCTCACCTTTGTTGTTTCTTTGATTAATTCCAGAGCTACATGGAATTCATAAACAAGCATCTGTTGGATTTCTCACACTAATGGAATCACTACGCTACTGCAAGGTACACAGAAACACATTTTACATATTCATGAGAAGCTATCACACTCTTTGAGTTTCTCGTAATCTTTTCTTTGTTGTTTTTTGTCAGTTTTTTATTAATCCAGCTCAGTTTAATCTAGATGTAGATGATTGTACACAGAGTATTAACGCTAAAAAGATGATGTACATTTGCTTCCTCTTAATTTAAACTCTTATAATGCGGAACATTTCTTGTATATATATATATAAAAAAAAAACAATCAAAAATTTTCCGTCACTTCTGGTGCCTGCCAGGTCACGCAGGTCACCTCAGAATTTTATGTTATGTTGATCACTGCCCCTCTGTGGTTCTGTCCTGCACCTACATCCGCGTCAACTATAAACGTGTAAAGCTCTTCCATGGGCTCGAGCACGGCACTCACAGACTGTCATGTCAACCCGATGTGTGAATATATCTCTGTATACTATATATGACCTTTTGAAAATACTCCTGAGCTACTGCACTTTCACTTTCTAGAAGGTGGAAGATGCATATCACGACTGAAAATCTAAAGAGGTGGGTAGTATTGTTCATTGCCAAATGCAAAGTAGTGTACAATAGCTATTTTACTGAAATTTACTTTTTGTTTGCTTTCATAAGGCGATTCAGCCTCCATAATTTCTAGTGGTTTTTGAATAATCAATAACACAATTGTAACTCTAACAGAAGCTTGCAGATATCATACTTAGAATTTAAATAACAGGGCAGCATCAATTCTCTATTCTTCTTTTTGTTTGTGGTCTTGTAATGAAGCAGACCCCATGCCCAAATGGACTCCTCTGGAAGCCCTGATCCAATTCTCTTCTATCCTGATAAAGATTTTCTTTCCTTCTTTCTCTTTTTTTTTTGCTAGCTCCCCTTTGCCATAAAACTCCAAAATAAAAACAAAAAGTTTTACATTCACTTGTGAGTAGCATAGCATGAAGTGTGTGGCTATTTTTGCTAACAACCTTTCATTGAGCTGCATAGTAAACCTATCCATCTTACCATGTGAACACTGTCAGCAGGTCAGTGGCACAGAAACTTGCAAGTGTGGTTTTCAGACCAGAGACAGTAGGGGGAGATGTCAGACCACTCTCTCGTCTCATAAACACTTAGATTACTATCATAGGGAAATATAGAGGCACAAATTTTACTTAGTGCTGCATTAAAGTATGTATTACCAGTTTTCAGAGTATATGCAGGTGCCAAATCCAGCTGGAAAATAAAAACGCCATAATTAATAGTTTTTAGGATGAAGTATTAAAAAATTTATACAGAGTGTTTATGTTCTGTTTTCCTGCATCACATTGTCTACATTTAAAACCCTATTTATAGTATAATCCTAACCACATATTGGCCTGTATGAGCTCCTTTATGAAACATGGTGCTAGTATCACACTTTGGGAAGCTTCCCTTTTAACAGTGACATATTGAGTCACAGTTAATGGTAAAAAAGACTAAGCTAAATACAGGTTGTTATTAGAAGAATTTTCTGTTGGCTGCCTTTTTGATTAAAGATAATTAATGCCCAGAAAACATCAAAAAAGAAAATGCAGCCTATTTTTACCTTTTCGCAGGTTTATGCAACATTTTTGTTTGCATTAATGTGTAGCAGGAGTTTGTGCTCACCTGTGTGAGCACAACATTTTAGAGGCTGAACAATAAAAAGAATTAAAGGTTAAGCTTTAGAAATGGAAGCTCGTTTTAATTTATTTATTTTTTTTAAAAAAGCTCAGTTTGGTGAATGTTTGTTTTAATTTAATCCTGATTTAGGGCGTTCAGGAAGTTTTTAAAATACATGTCATCTCCTTTCAGGCAGTAGGTTTTGCTCCATAATAAATCATACACATGTGGTTAGAAGCAAATGCTAAATCATGGCTGTAATTGCCAATTATGGGCTCTCTAATGTAATATATTCCTCTCACAGTGTTTTTCTTTTTTCTTCCCCACTTCAGGTTGGGACATTCCTCAAATCTCCAAAGTTCCCTATTTGGATTCTTGGCAGTGAAACGCATCTCTCTGTCTTTTTTACCAAGGCAAGTTCACTACACTCATCGAGCACATATTTCATATGCTGTGCAACACGAGCAGGTCGTCTTGGCGGGTTAGAAAAACTAAAAATAAGGAATGTGCTCAGAAGATTAAATGTTGTCCAGATCAGATATCGGTGTGTTTAAAAGCAAGTGAGACAGAGATGGAAAAGAAGGAATATGAGTGCTGGAGATCGTCTCATATGGCAGGTGCTGTTTGCTTGGATCTCACTAATAAAGCATCAGGGTTCGGGGCTCACTTAACCAAGCAGAGTTTAACAAAAACAGACATTTACACATCTTCACAGATGGTCTTAGACAGTCCATATATCATAATGTTGATGTAAAACTCTGTTTGACATCAGTAAAAGACACCAGGTTTACCTTTGCAGCCATGATAATTATAACAATGTAGATTTATGTTCCAGCACCTTTTAGGTAAAAGTCTCAAACGTTCTTTGTTCATAACAATCTACATTATCAAAGGCACTACAGTGATTCACTTTGAATACATTTTTTACAGTGTTGCAGATGTTGCACACAAGGAAGAATTTTTTTTTTCTTTCTTAGCATTTAATCTTGCCTTATATTTACTAAATCAAATGGTATCCTCAGCTTTTCATTTAGCTATTGTGTGCTTCCATCATATGGTCCAAATCATAACCTTATGCTGATGTTAAGGAAAGATAAACTAAATACAAGTTTTCTGCAGTGTTTATATTCACATCCACAAGCTTACAGTGGTTTTGGTGAATGAAACTGGCATCTTGATTTAACGGTCTGTAAAGACTGACTGTGCGTGCCCATTATCACTTACTGTGCTATAAGTGACAACAGATAACAGTAAAGACAGTTTCTTTTTTGTTTGGTCATTTGGGTTTTTTCTGTCTTTGTATAGTTTTTCTTTTAAGTTTTGTTGATTCTCGTTACTTTCGACTGACTGACAAAACAGAGTTAGTTAAAAGGCTAAACGGCACCAGCAATTGTTTTAGGAGAAGTCTGGCACAGATTGAGCCATGATCAGAATCTTCAGTTGTCTTAAATAAGTATTTTGACTTGACTTGAATCTCACAGATGTATAGATGCACGTTGCTGTTATTGTTGTTGTATTGGTTGTTTTATTCTTGGTAGACATGACAAAAGTCAGAGATGAAATAGGGCCACTATAGGTTACTGATTAGATGAAATCCAGTTTTACAAACAGAATGGGGTGAAAATAGGAGACTCCAACTGTGAAAATAATAAGATCCATTACTGTGGTGATGAGTATTTTAATTCTGCTGCAGTGATTTGGAGCCATTACTATTTTAGAGAGTTCAACTTTAACAGCTATTGCAAACTTTGTCAACACATGCTAGTTGTGAATTCAGAGCTTTTGGTCTCATTCTAGCCTCTATTGTTCCAATGGCAGAGATCTATGTTCTCATTTATTTATTTAAGTGAATTTATTTAAGTATGTTCCTCATTCAGAATACAATGGCTGAAGGAGAACCCTCTCAGGGCCGTAATCTGTGTAAATACATGAAAAAGCTCCAGATGTCGATATTTTCTGTCGAGGGCCCAGAGATGCTGTAACGTGTTAAACCATCAAATGTGCCCTGGTTTATGCCAAGAGTTATTGATTTCATATTACAGCTGAGAGAATGTTGGAACCTTTGATAGAAACTCAAGTAGAATGGTGTCATGCTTGTTTGCTTATGCAGTGGGTCATGCTCATTTATCCTGCACTCTAATAAACAGGTAATCTTTCTCATTTATGTGAATGTAACTGTATATGGTGAAAGCTAGTGTAATAAAGAAGGGGTCTATCGTTACAACACACCCTTAATATCAGATTGATTAAATGCTTGGTAACATGATGGAAGCTCCACCCTGCAGTGCCAGTGTATCAGATGTTAGCTCTGTGATGAACCAATCATATAGGCACTAATGAGTTAACGATTCCCTCTGCTCTTTGGGGCTGGTGGCATGTTCGTATATATACATCCACATCGCAGAGGAAATTTAATCCTGATTAGCATTAGTGCTCTCTCCCTCTCGCTGTGTCTCTAGTTAGTCGGTGCACTTTGAGAAATGTGATTCCAACGTTTCACAAAAGACCATGAACATACAGACAGAAAAATAATAAAACACACATTTTCATTCCTTTAACTTGCGTCACAAGCTAAAGTCAAACTGAAAAAAAACAAAAAACTTTTGAGGGTATTTTGGTCAACCTGACAAGTGTGACACTGATTGTCTTTAGCTGGAAACAGATTTACTTTAAATTTGAAACTTATTTTCAAATGTTTAGTGATGCAAAACTACCCATGCCTGGTAATGGGGCTTTTAGCTCCAAACAAGGTCTGTTCCCTCATGTATATTCCCTTGAATGGTTGTGTGACTATGGCTTTTAAACCCTCACGTTAATAGCATTTTGTTTTTATCTAATCTAGCTGCAAAAAGCATTTTGCTGCTTTTTTTTCATCCCAAGATGGTTTCCTCTATAAAGGTTTGTCTCCCTATTAGAGAGAGCCATGGTAACTATTTATTGGATTGTTATAAACCTTTTTTTGACTTTTCCAGATACATGTGGAGGAAAAAGATCAAAGAAATGCAGGGAGCGATGTTCAAGGAAAATGTACCGCTCTGCTTTTTAAGTTCCTTTCCATTCCAGTTTTTAGTGAGTGACCTCCCTAGCTGAAGGATCGTCCTGCAGGTTCTTTACCTTATTGGTCCCTCATGGGATGAAGAGAGGAAGAAAGGAAGCTAGGAGGAAGGATGTACTTAAACAGAGCCCTGCAGTGGTCACTCAGGAAACAGGCTTAGGGGAGGGTGATCCTCTTGTGACATTTCTCATCAGTCTTACTCTACCTTCACCGAGTGATGAGGTTCGCAGGCTGTATCTGAGGTTCTCCTGGGATTTGTGTTTGTGTGCTTGCCTGTCCAGTGGTTATGCTCTGGGTCAGTGATTTACTTGGAGATGAACAGCCGCTATGGCACTCTGCATCAGGTCACAAGAAACTGAGCTGATGCAGTAAATGTAGGTTAGATTAATGCATTGAGATTCTATTAAAATGAACACAGGTTTTTGAAATTTCCAAACTAAAACATGTGAGAAAATATTCAGAAGTTAGATGTATTTTTTTCAACCCTTTGATCAGAGGTGAAAAGGCATCAATAGCTTTGTAAAGTCAACAGTGTCTTAAAGATAACACATTTGTAACATGTTGCATAAGATGCATTTCAAAATATAGATTTCACAGGGAAATACATTGAATATGCAGTTATATAAAAAAACAGAAACTTGAATGTAACTATGTAATAAACTCTTTGGATTTAAACATTTGAAACCAGGATCAAAGTCATGTAGCTTTCCTAGCAGATCCATATCGATAATCTCACTTTACACACATTGTATGTTCTCCCCATATGGTGGAAGTTTCTTGATATGAGCAATATGGCTCACCGACCAGGGTGTCATTTCGACTAAGAGCGACATTAGAAGTTAAAAAAATATTTCAAATTGCTTACATTCATATCCACAATAGAGAGAAACTTTCTTTCATTGTTGTAAGGACCAACTTGGATCAAGACAAATATGGACAGAATTATTTTACACCAATCAGATTCTTCAGGAAAAAAAGATTGTAAAACTTTCTCTTTCATAAGAAAAACTGAGAGGCGCATGTTTCCACTCTTGTAAGATCCGCTTCTGACCCAAAAAACGTTTTTTTAAGATACAAATAAAAAAAATAGAAGTATATATTTTTAAAGATGACTTCATATGCATATTTAAGGATCGATTTCTTGTGAAAAGAATTGCTCCCTGTTTCCCTTTTCAACTGTGGGTGCGGGCCACATGTAAACACAAAACAACAAAGCAGTGTACATGAACAGTCATTAATAACTTATGACAGGTCAAATAAAAGGTAATTGTAGTGGGATAAAGGCTTGTCATCTCAGGTGTGCGTGTGCTGCATTATTCTTCATTTCCCTTTGGTTGAATATCGGCGTTATAAGACGCATCAGTAAGTTATACAACTACTCTCCGGTATCCCATCTCTTTTCAGTGAGACGCACTTTTGGATAGTAAAGATGTCCTCATAAATCATTGCTTTGTCCCGTCTGTCACACTTGAGGCTCATGCACATTCTTGCTGCCAAAACTGCATTCCCATTATGTGGCAGGTAGGGCAGTTTCCATTGTTTCCTTTTAATCTGTGATGTATTGCGACATATGCTAGTTGGGATGAACTAAAAAAAAAAAACGACAACCAAGTTCACATAAGAAGCTCTTACATGTTGACCTTCTTAATCGGTCATGTACTGCGGTTATCGGTCCCTTCCCTGAACAAGACGGGAGACGTTATCTAAGACCTGGGCTTTTTTTTTTTTGAAACTGAGAGCTTTAAACATGCTCCATGTCCACTCACAGCCTCTCAGCAAACACAATAGCTCTTAAGGAGAACAGGAGGGAAAGAAAGTGTAATTCTAGTAAAAGGCTATGCCTACCTGTCTTACCTGAAGTAGCTACCTTGATGAGGAGATAAGGTTTGAAAGGAAAGTCGGAAGGAAGAATGAACAAAAACTGGAGGGCAGGAGGAGAGGAAATACTACAAAACTAGAGTACCTACTTATCACAGGAAAAGGTAGGTAACAAGGGCAAGGGACAAAGCGAAATGGGAAACCAGACTAGGGTGAGAGATCTTCTCTGCTTGAAGAGCTCAAAGAAATGCTGAACTGGCATTAAGGTTTTGTCCATTACCAGCCGGCATTCCACAAAGTGACACAAGCGACGAAAAGGTCAAATAACTATCAGACAAGCTTTTGTACTTTATCTTGGAGACCCTGATACAAGAATCCTAAGAAGATTATAACAAAGGAAGACAACCAAGAAAAAGCTCTTCAAAGCCTCTATTGAAATGTCTACAGTAGATCTACTGCAGGGTATTTTGGAGTTTGATGCATTTTCCATGTATGTATTTCAGTGATTGTTACTAGCTCATATTTTTTGTTTTTATCTAT